CCCCAAAACCCCAAAACCCCAAAACCCCAAAACCCCAAAACCCCATTTCCAAAAAAATAATGGAAATTTTATAATAAATATTTTAATGGCAACAAGAAATAGGACTAAGAAAGAAGATCTCGAAGATGGATTTTCCCTACCAGATGATTATGATGAAGTCGACAATGACGGTAAACCATATTTCTCGATAAACTCCCTAATCTCATCTATTTTGTACCTCCTGACCCGTTTCTGGTTAGGATGATCAGAAGGAGTTCTAATAATTAGGGGATGAATCTTTTCCAAATCATATTTCCACTAAACTTTTGGCGAATCTTAGCATTCATATTCAGCCTGACACTTTTATAGAACTCTTTGGTGATGGTGGTAGCGACTTCGAAGAAGAGAAAAGCGCTCCAAAATCAAATAAAAGACTGAAGAAGACCAAGAAAAGTCGGATCAAGAATAAAAGAAGAAAGGTAAAGGAAGCTAATGTCAACCAATTCTTCGATGAATTCGCTGATGAAGATGACGATGAAGAAGAAGATGACGTTGGTGGTGAGATCAACGAAGAAGAAAGACAGAAAATTTATGAAAGATATGACCAGAATAAATTTGGCCAAAGATCTAAGAATATGTATGCTGAGATGAGCGAAGATGACTTAGAAGATTACGCGAAGAATCTTGAATCAAAGTACAATAGAGATGTTGAGCTGGACCCAGAGGAGGATGATGAGGCTAGGAATATTTATCCCACAAGAGCAGATCCAACACTCTGGTTAGTGAAATGTAAACAAGGGTGTGAGAGAGAAGCTTGTGTGTGTCTTATGAACAAGTACTTGCACCTGAAGAAGCAAGGAAAGCCTTTGAGTATCATCTCTGCAACTATTAGTGACAAAGTTCAAAGCCATCTTTATATTGAAGCTTACAAAGAAGTTCATGTTAGAGAAGCTATTAGAGGACTCAATCTCATCTTTCAAAGAGATTGTATTAGAATTAAAAATGAAGAAACCGCTAGTGTGTTTGAAATTGATAAAGCCTCAAAGATCACCCTCAAGAAAGGACAATGGGTTAAGCTAAATAGTGGATTACATTCTGGAGACTATGCTAAAGTTGTGGGAGTTGATGACTCAAAGGATGGCTGCTACTTAAAACTCATCCCAAGAATTAAGACAGAAACCGGGCCCGATCCAAGAATTGTTAAAAATAGGAAAAAGATTGGGATGCCAGAAAGAGCTCCTCTGAAATTCTTCAATAAAGAAGAATTCTCAGATGTTGTTGAAAAATACAATGGAATGTTTAACAAGCAAATGTTATATTGGAATAGGAACTATTACAGAAAGGGTTTCTTGTATAAATACTTCAACATCAAAAACATTGAAACTGATAATGTTATCCCTCCAAGAGCAATCCTAGAGAAGTTCCTCAGACCAGGAGAAAACCATGATGAAGTTGATCATAGTGATGAAGATCCTGAAGAAGAGATGGAAAAATGGAAGAAACTTGCATCTGAAAATATCCTTCTCACTAAAGGGGATAAAATCAAGGTGATCTCTGGTGAGCTTCAGAATTTGACTGGAAAAGTTATTGCGATAGAGAAGAAAGTGGTAACTATGAAGCCAGACATTGAAGATATCCCTGACAACCTTGACCTTGATATCTCTATGATCTCCAAGCACTTTGAAGAGGGGGACCATGTCTATGTTGTAGAAGGAGAATACGAAGGAGAGAAAGGAATGATTACTAAAGTGAAAGGAGGCAGATGAATTATCTTCTCAGATGTAAAGCAGAGAGAGTTTATTGCATTCTTAAATAACTGCAAACTATCTTCTCAAGTTGCCCAATTGACTTCTTCCAACATTGAGCATGGTTACAATGTATTTGATCTGATCGTGACAACCAAGAGGATGGCTGGAATTGTTCTTGCTATCGAAAAAGAGAGCTTGAAAATTCTCACTCAGAATGGAAATGTTCAAAATATTGATGTAAATGATGTGAGTAACAAAGTCATCCAGAAAAACAACGTTTCAACTCTTGACCATGATGGAAACTTTGTAAGTGTAGGAGACCCTGTAAGAGTTGTCGAAGGACCTAACAAGAACTTGAAAGCAATAATTAGAAATATTCACCAGAACTCGATTTTCCTCTACAATAAAGAGTTTTTAGAAACATTTGGATATTTTGTTGAGAATAACAAGAACATTGCAATGAGAGGAGAGGAATCAGGCAAAAGAAACATGACTGCTCCTAATAACAAAAGAAGAGACCCACTTATTGGCAAAATAGTGACAATTTGTAAGGGTGAATATAAAGGATTCGAAGCTAGGGTTGTTGATACAATTGAGAGAACAGTCAAGCTTGAGTTATTCTTTAAAAGTAAAATCATACAACTCAGAAAATCTGATATCATTGAAAAAGATAAAATCCAAGAAGACAAAAGGCCAGTTAAGATGGAGCCAAGGCATGTTGTACCTAAAACTCCTGCCTACCAGCCAAATAGTCCTGGATATTCCTATAATAATTCAGGTAAAGAATCACCTAATGGAGGACTCTAGGGAGCACAATCCCCAAATAGAGATTAAAATTGCATAATTTGGAGTGCAATTAAATAGTATTCAACATTTTTTTCTTTTAAGGGGTTTTGGGGTTTTGGGGTTTTGGGGTTTTGGGGTTTTGGGGTTTTGGGGTTTTGGGG